CCACCTAGTGGTGACTGATCGCTCTACCATTCTATAGATTTGCTGATAATTCTGGGTCGTACGACCTGGGTCGTTCGACTGTTAGGAAGGAAAGCTGGAAAATGTAGTGGAACCGTGTCAAGGAAAGAGGAAATAGATTTGGTAAAGTACTTACTACCTCATGTATTTTAATATTGTGCAAGTAAACTGCCTTCATTCTTCACTGGTACGAAAAAAAAGTTTCACTAGGTAGTATTTTGAATTTATTTCTAAGGTCAGAATACATATATAAGTAATTTAAATGAGAAAACCTGACACTGTAAGGCACAGTTTGATTTAGCTTGAGCAAATGCAAAATTTTACAGAAATAACTTTTGCATCAATTTATATTGCAAATCAGAAGTCTTTTAGATAAACCTAGTTGTATTTTTCTAAGTAAATAATAGAGTTCTATTCATTTATTTCTATTGTTTAGCAGTTTCAGCAAGGGATAAGACTGAGAACAATAAAAAAGGTACCAAAGACCCAGGAATTGTAAAGCCTAAAGCGAGGTCTAAGACCAGCTATGTAGGAGGTACTAAGATTCTGTGAAACTGATTTTGTCAACTTAGCTGATACCCCATTTTCAAGATTTTAAGAGAACTCGAAAACTAATAAAAAGCTAATAACAGACAGAAAGAGTTGGCACTGGAGTTGTTACTGAGCCCAGGTCTGGCACCTGCCCCTTTCCAAAAGGAAACAACTCAAAAGTCAAATGTTGGTGAAAATGGAAGTCAGCTTTTATTAAGGAATACCAATGACCTGAGGAGAGATGTTAGGCTAATCTATCTCTCCGGTAAACCTGAAGGAAAATGGCCAGACTAAACCCATCCTCAGACTCACATTTCCTGAGGGTTTTTAAAGAGGATATTGAAGGAAGGGAAAGTGTGAAATGAACAACAGGACTGAGACGCAGAGGCTCTGTGCACGGAGGTAAGCGTGAGGTCTCACCATAGCTCTATGTGGTTTCTGCTCCCGTCCTTGCTGTTATCTCAGGGTCCTGCTGACGCAGTGTAATCAGCATAGCTTCACTGATGTCTTCCTTGGTTTCTCAGTGTCTGGATAGTATGTGTCTCATTGCAAGTCTGCAGCTCCAGGCTGGCTGGAAAACAACTTTATGTAAATAATGCCATCTTGCCCCATGACCAAGGTTCAAAATATCAAATAACCACAGGAAAAGAAGGAACTCAGAGAAATGCATGCCAAGAAAAAAACTGTGTCCTTTTAAACTCTTTTAGGGCCTACACAGTTCTAGGTCCCAGCATGGCTTCAGTCCTGCTCACTCCAGCAGAGTCATAAAAAGGTTCACGGGGGGCTGTGGTGCACCTGCTTTCCCTGCCCCTTGGGGAAGAGAAAGGGAGCTGCTGTCTTATCATTTCCACCAGCTTCCTTGTGAACACTTGGAGAAACATGTGTCTCCTTAACACTGAGGGACTTGACTGAACATTTGGCTCAGGCATGAGTAATCTAAAGAGGAAAGGCGGTGGCCCTTGCTGCCCTGCCGGTAGCAAGGCAAAAGTGAGTTTGCTCCCCTGTCACAGGTTGTGCTTCATCAATGACAAGGCAAAGGTTTGTACTTTCTGAGTGCCCTGTGGGAAAAGCCAACTCAAAGTCATCTCGAAAGAGGAGCTGGAGATTTGCATCTCTAACAAGGGCCCAGGTGATGCTGACACTGCTGTCGCTGATCAGGGGACCACACTTTGAGAACCCAAACCTTGTCTGACAGAACCGTCTAGAGGTGTAACCATGGTAACAATATACAGCTGGTAATGTGCGCACAAGCCACACATTATTTTCTAGATCTGGGCAGGGGAGCACAAGTGCTATATGGATTTTCACAGATTATCACTTTCCTATCACAAAACGTTTTGTGAACTACTGCAGAATTTCAGCATCACAAATATTAAATTAAGACAGCTTTGTTCAAATAAAAATTTTTATCCTTATCTTCTCAATTCATTCCTCACTGTGAAGGTTTGCAAAATTTATTGAAACTTGGTATGCAAACCTGAAAAGAAAATACGAATGAAGAGTTTATAAAGTATGTTGACTTCTGCTGGTGCCATGTACTGAACATTGTGTGCAGTAACGTAACCACCAGGAAGAGGGCGCTGTGGCATTACATTTACTTGTGTGCTGTCTAGAGACTTTCTGAATGGTTTCTGTAAGGATTTATAAAGTGGAAAAGGTTGATGGTCCCCTTACATTTCACTTCTCCTTAAAATGTTACTGAGATTTAGAAGTGGCAGTTTCAGAGCCTCTATTGTCTGGAACTAAAAGGAATCTTTACAAATGATTTGGTCCATTCCTCTCAGCTCCACTGATATTTTTCTATCCGAGGCTCATTAATTTTGAACAATGTGTTCCAGCCATTCCATCAAGTTGCTCCTTAGATATAAGAAGTCCCAACTTTTAAGGTTTTTTTTTAAAGCCAGTTTTACGATTAATGGTTGACTTGGTATGAATATTTTGTTACTGAGAGTACTCTCATTCACTTGGAATGCTCAGGAAATTTGAACACGTAAAGCTGCTTTTCTGTACCATTCTGCACTTTTATTTGGCTGTACTGAATACTGAGATAATCAAAGGAATATTTATTAAATCACGAAATGCTATTGCCAAGTGGTAATGTTCTATGATTATACAGGTTATTCAGATTAACATTATAATAAATCAATACCAAAAAGAGATTTTAAAAATCAATCTTTCAAAGATAGGATGTGAAGCTTTGATAAAAGCCATAGTAACACTAAAGTCTTCTCATTTCAATATTGATTAATTCAAAATAGAATCTAAATTGAAGCATTTGTTTATTCTCTAGCCACATTACTAAGATTTCTCCTTTATTATGCTTGGGATAATACAGAAAATATATTAGATGAAAAAAATGCAAGGTGAAGAATGAATTGTTAATTAGCTCCAACTGTCCCCTAGAAGGAAGACTATGTAATATAAAAGGAAGAAATAGTGTTTGTAAATTAAACATTTTTTTTTCTTCACTAAAATGTTTATAAAGCTTGCTGGAGCATCAAGATCAGACGTTAAGTATTGTGCTCTCTTACAAATGAAATTATAGGATCTTAATTCTCAGACTGGAAGGGAATTTAGGAAGTATCTTTTTGATTCTTTTATCAGCAATTGCATTTGACAGAAAGTAGCAAAGATCTGGGAAATAATGGCTTAATCAGACAAGGCTTTATTTCCTCACATATAACAGGACATCAAAAGGTGAGCTGTTGCTGACTGGGCTGAGGTGTCTCCAATTCTCCAGACTTTTCCTTGAGGTTGCAAGATGACTGTTCACACTTTTCCTATTAATAATGAATTCCAGGGAGCAAAAAAGAGAAAATGAAAGAAAGGAAAAATGGAAAACTGCTGTATCAGGAAGGCAAAAACTCAATGTCCCAGTAGATATCTGCTCACCTGTCATGGGTGGAAAATAGTCAATGTCCACTCTGTCAAAGAAGGCTGGAAAGAATAGCTTTTAGCTGGGCACAGTGCCAACCCTAAGAGAATTAGTCTGTCCATAAAGGAGGAAGTGAAGAATGGTTATTGTCTTCCCCAATCTCCCTGTGCCAGCCTCTGCCGCAGTCAGCCTCTCATGAAAGTAAGGCAATTGGCCCAGAGAGAATAAACAATTTCACCTATACCTTAAAGCTGGAGGCAGAGTCAGGATTTTATATGACATAATGCATGCCCTCTTGTATTTAATTGAGTTGTGCATTGAATTCTGTGTGTGTGTGTGGGTGGGGTGGGGAAAGAGTGGGGTCTTCCGAATTTTTAAAGATTTTGCTTTGGCAAAGCATAATAATGTAAGGAATCATGTATTATTAAAAGCTTAGTACATCAGTTCACCTCTAATACGATCATAGTGATTTGATTTCCTTATGAAAATAATGCAAAGAAAAATAAAAACACACTTCCTAACAGAAACAAAGTGATCCTGTAGCTGTAAAGACATTGCAATTTATATCAAGAGTTTATTTCTTCAAAGTAAATATGGGAAACATTCCCTCATATAAACCTTAATTTGCTTCCATAAAACTTGTGGCCCTCTCTCTCTCAGACGGAGGCAGCAGTCCTCAACTTTCTGAGGAGTGTGACTAAGAGGCAGTGACAGTCATAGTAGTTACAACCCTCATGGCAGCAGCAAATCCAAGCTGCTCTAAAAGGGGCGTCAGCAGATTTTCTCCCATTGCCCAGATGATAAAATTTGTTTTTCTAGGAGAAGAACTGTGAGCAACAAAATGTTAATATTCTCTTTCTGATATCAATGAGCCATTCAAATACTTCTTAAATTTATACATTCAAGAATGCAACAATATGCCACGTTCTGTAATAATCTAAAATGACAGTGCTACCTATTACTACTTTTAACCTAGTACCACAAACAAGTGATAGGCAGAAACCTGAAAAGAAATGCTTTCTAAAAATCATACAGTATTAAAACTATCTCATTCATGCTACAGATGAGGAAATTACCTGTTGGCAAAACAGAAATGACTTGACTCAATTCATTTGGCGAACTCAATTCATTTGTTTTATTTTTAATATATATTTAAATTGTATAGAGTTCTGCAGATTTTTATTTTATTTTTTAAATTTTTTTATTGGTTATGAATATTCATGGGGTTCAAAGTTGATTGTCACCCCTCGTGCCCAAGATGTGATGGCCAGATCCATACTGGCAGCATGCCCGTTACCACAAATTGTGATTATATCCTGTGTCCCCCACCCAGTTACCCCCGACCTCCCTCCCTCATCCCCCTTTCCCCACTCCACTTTGTATCCCTAGGTGTGCTCGCTCCCTGTCTGTAGGCTTTGATTTTAGACCTTCCAAACGTGAAGACTTATTTGGATATCACAGTGTCATCTGAAATTGCAAATATTTAATGTTTTCCTTCCATTTGTGGTTTACGTCTGGGAAATAAAAAGGGAGTGAAATTTCCTAGTTAGAAACTCAATTGCATTTCTGATTACAGTGGGAGAAACTACAGATGACCACGAGTGAAAGGAGGAAAATATTCTGCTCCGTCACGTTCCACGTCATTGCAATCACCTGTGTGGTCTGGTCTCTGTATGTGCTGATAGATCGGACCGCGGAGGAAATCAAGCAAGGTAATGACAACGGTAAGTGTGAGTCTTTCTCCTTTTTTCTGCCCTTGGGTTCTAATGACGATACCCAGAGATAGGGAAGCCATTTCCCCAGGTTAGGTCTTCACATACAGCGAAACCAGTACTTGCAGTTGAGTCTTCCCCAATTATGTTATTGATGAATCCTCTGACTTGAAAGCAGTGATTATATGGGGTCCCAAGCTGAGGTATGAGATTTATCAAGTCCATATAAAACGCAGCAAGGAGAAATGTATACAGCTGTGCTGCACTGAGTTCTGAGAAATGCATCATTAGGCACTCATCACCGTGTGGACATCGTGGGTTGTACTTACACAAACATAGACGGTGCAGCATACTACACACCAGGCTGTCTGGTATACCTTATTGCTCCTAGGCTACACCACTGTCATATACATGGTCTGACGTTGACCAAACATCATTGTGCAACACATGACTGTAGACGGCATACAACGTGCGCTTTTCAGGAGCTGAATAAGGATCAGGTTCTGCCTGATGTGACAAGGCAAACAGTTGCAAAAATAGAAGATTTTTATTTTATTTAATTCACCTAATCTTCATAAAAGTATGAATAAGATGACATTCTAGCCGAGAATGTGTGATGGTTTCTTATTTAGAACTATGTAATTTGAGAGTCGGTTAGCACTACGGTTTGTAATTTTAGCCATGAAAAGTTTGGTTGTAAAGGATGATGCCAAGTCTGCAAAGAAAGAGGTCTCTAAATCATTAAGGCATAGTCTAGCAATTAAAATCAGTTAAGATCAGTTAAAACAGAAGCAAAAACAGAAAACACGATGCATATAAAATAATGTTTATTTTCTCTTTTAAAAGTAGCCAGCTGGGCCGGCCCGTGGCTCACTCGGTAGAGTGCGGTGCTGATAACACCAAGGCCACGGGTTCGGATCCCATATAGGGATGGCCGGTTCGCTCACTGGGTGAGCGTGGTGCTGACAACACCAAGTCAAGGGTTAAGATCCCCTTACCGGTCATCTTTTGAAAAAAAAAAAAATAAATGAATAAATAAAATAAAAGTAGCCAGCTGTTTCTCGTCTGGTTCTATGAGCTTTAGGGTATAACCTAAATCATCGCTGGTAAAACAGTGTAAAATATCCCTACACAATCCCAAGAAACAATGTGCATTTGAAACATTGGTGCACTTGAAAGGTGAAATTGTTGAGACAGTAGCATTACAAGTTTGTAGTGTAATGAAAAATGCTTACATGCCCCACCAACCAAAAAATATAATAAAATAAAATAAAATAGAGAGAAGAAGAAAACAAAAGAAAGAAGGCAGGAAGTGAGAGAAAAAAGAAAGAAAGAAAAAGAATTTAAAATCAGAAAGGTTTGCTACTTTTGTGTTCCTTTGTGTGGGTTCCTCACGCAGAAGAGGAGGATGCTCCATTCTCACGCTTGCCTGCTGGTGGCAGCGATGCACACCAGCACTGAGCTTTCTAGAAGCAGAATGGGCTGGGCAGGTAAAAGGGACTGCAAGGACTCACCCCATGCACTGTGGACATGGTTTATGTATTCTACGTGAGTGGGTGGGGAGAGCAAGAGATGGTGACGGAGTTGCAGGTCCCATCGTCCTTTTTTGAAAGACAATGAAAGCTCTGCGATGTCAGGTCTAAATGCTAGAAAAACAGGTAGGGTGAGGTGTTTATTTTTGTTTTCTGTTTTTATTTGTTTGATATTAACTCACTTATATACATTTAGATCAAACTACGTTGTTTGCAACTACATTACACAGTGTTCCAGAGATGCTTGATTAAAAAATGTCATATGACATCCCTATTAAATAAATTTCCTGAAGGTAGGACCTTTAAAAAAAAAAAAAATAATGTTCCCTCTTGATATAGGCACTGGCCCAAGCCAAGTAACAGGGAGTGTGCCATAAACACTGCCTTCACATATGGCTGGAAAAACAAAGGAGCATCTCACCTCACTTCACACAAGGCACTACCATAGGACTCAAGTGTTTTCCTGGCCATCAAAGGCAGACCTTATGGCCAGAGACTTACTATTTTTTTTTTTTTTCCTTTTTATCTTTTTTCGTGTCCGGCAATGGATCGCAACCCTCAGTGTCGCGCCCCTACCGGACCGGGGACCGGCAATGGGATCGCAACCCTCGGTGCTGTGCCTGCACCTCGCTCAGCCAGTGAGCGGGAACCGGTCTGTATGTGGGATCCGAACCCTCGGCGGGAGTGCCACCGCACTTCCCAAGCAGCGCACTGTAGCAGTGCGCCACCGGGCCGGCCGGAGACTTACTATTTTTAGATGACTCATTTAGAGTTCAGTGTCTGAGAACCATAAGTTTGCCCCGAGGTGATGCAACCTCTCGTCTCTCCCAGTGATCACCCTGACTGGGCCTTGCTGTATAGACTGCAGGGCTCCTGTTCTCCTCGAGCCACAGGTGAGACAGAAGATTAAGAGCACCTCTCCTAGACACAGAAGAAGCAATCTTGTGACATCCATATGTAGCTCCCCATAAGACAGCACACTTCTCAGACAAGTGAGTGAATAGCAATGATTTATCCTACAGTGAACATGATGGTCTCAACTTCAGCCACCAGTCTCTCCAGAACCCAAGAAACCCATAGCCCTGTGCTTCCTTCCATTTTTCTCTGTCCCTGCTCAGTCTCTAGGTCCCTTGGGTATTTGTGTGTCTTCAGCTGCAATTTTAATGCTGATAACCTCCCAAATTTATGTCCAGCTCATACTGCGCTACAACCCATGCATCGTCCTACCTCCAGAATGTCTCTGTCTGGAGGGCTTCCAGGCACCCCAGTGTCTAAACTCATAATCCACAACCACTTCTCACAATGATATCTGTGGGAAAGGCATCACTAACACCCAGTTACGAAATCCAGATATTCAGGTTTTATTCCTGATCTCTTCCCTCTTCTACCTTAAATCAATCACCAAATCCTTGTTTATTCTGTCTCATATGCCTCTGGAATCTGTCCATTTCTCCCTTTCCCCTCTGCCACCATCCATGTGCAAACTATGAAATCATTTATCTGGAAACGGCAAAAGCCTCTTAGCTAGACTTTCTCCAATTTTGCCTGTCTTCAATACATGCTCAGTAATGTGATCACGGCAAATTTATGAAAACACAAATCTGCTTACATCCTATCCCCACTTAGCCATTACTTTTCATATATAACCCCAAATCCTTGGCAAGACGATGCCGCCCCCATGCCCTGGTTGTAGCCACTTGGGATGAACATTCAGCTTTTCAAATCTACCTCCAGACCCTTGCTCAGTTTTTCCCTCTATGTAAAACATTTCCTCCCTGTTTCTCTTGTCCACTATCACCACATACACACTTTTTATTTTGTTGAAAAATAATTAAACATACTTGTGGGGCACAGAGTTGAATATCAATACCTATGTATGATGTGTGATGATCAAATCAGAATTAGTATGTTCATCATTACAAAACGTAAACATTCCTTGTGTCCATTAACCAATTTTTTGCTAACACCCCTCTCCCTGCCCCCTTCCCACCTCTAGTAACCACAACCCTGTTCTCTCCTGAAAGTTCAGCACATGATCATGATTGCTGTTTCTCTTTCTTTTTCTTTTTTTCTTTCTTTCCTTCCTCCCTTCCTCCCTTCCTTCCTTCCTTCTTTCTTTCATTCCCACTATGAGTTAAGGACATGCAGTATTTCTCTTTCTGTGCCTGGCTTGTTTCACATAACATAATTTTCTCTAAGCTCACTCATGTAACTGCAAATGGCAGAATTTCATCCTTTTTTATGGCTGAGCAGTATTCCATTGTGAATTTTACTTATCCAGTCATCCATCAATGGACATTTAGGTTGGTTCCAACTCTTGGCTACTGTAAATAGAGCTGTGATAAAAATAGGGGTGCAGGTATCCCTTCAACATGATGATTTCCATTCCTTTGGGTATACACCCTGCAGTGGGGTTGCTGGATCATATGGGTAGTTCTATCTGTAGTTGTTTGAGGATCCTCCATACTGTTTTCCATAATGGCTGCACTAATTTACAGTCCTACCAACAGTGCAGGAGGGTTCCCCTTTTTCCACATCCTCATCAGCATCTGGTATTCTGTCTTTTTGATAATAGCCTGTCTAACTGGGGTGATATGACATCTCAGTGAGGTTTTGATTTGCATTTCCCTGATGCTTAGTGATGTTGAGCATTTTTTCTTATTGGCCATTTGTATGTCTTCTTTTGAGAAATGCCTATTCAGCTCATTTGCCTATTTTTCAATTGGATTATGTAGCTTTTTACTGTGAAGTTGTTTGAGTTCTGTCTGTGTTCTGGATATTAATCCTTTGTCAGATGTATAGTTTGTAAATATTTTCTCCCATTCTGTAGGCTTTCTTTTCACTCTGTTGACTGTTTACTTTGCTATGCAGATTTTTTATTTGATATAATCCCGCTTGTTTATTTTTCCTTGGAACCATTTCAGGATGTAGGACTGGGCAAAGACTATGTGCACACACAAACACTCACATACTCTCACACACCTCCCTCAACCCAGCTTAGACTTTGCAGTTTACCTGAAGCATCACTCCCTCTGGGAAACCCAGTTTGGCTCCCTAAACTGGGATAATTATTCCTACCACAGTGATCCTCAAAATGTGGTCTCCAGACCAGCAGCATTAGCATCACCTGGACACTTGTGAGAAATGCAAATTCTAACTTCCCATCTCCCTAGACTTATGAGTCAGAAACCCTGAGGGTATAGCCCAGAAATTTTGCTTCCGAAGCCTACAGTTGATTCTGATGCCTGCTAAGTTTTGCAAGCCGCTGCCCTACACTCCAGATCATCCGTCCCTTACCCTGCAGTGGCTCTCCACCTTGATTGCATAGTGGAATACCTGTGGAGTTTCTGCAGTAGTACAAAGCCCACAGAGATTAGATGTAATCATCCTTTACATGATCCCATTGTGCAGCCACGTGAGGAAGCTCTGCCCCGCCATGAGACTTGCCACACACGTCGTTGCAATTGCTCCTTCATTTGT